ATGATATCAGATCTCTGGAAGTGCTCGCAGTATTGAATCTCTTATCAGATCTCAATTCTGGTTTGAATTCTCTTGAAATCAATGGCTTATTTTGGTGATCAACTCTTTGTGTCTCTTCAATGGTTTCGATAATTTTATGCCTGTTTTTCAGATTATGTTTGTGTCGATTATTCGAGACCTCATTCTTCGAGATACTTGACTGTCGGGTGATATTGATTTGATTACTCGCCGATCGTTTCAATCTCTGCAACAACTCGTCTTCACTATCAGTAGACGAGTCGAGTTCGTCGTCGTATGAAAACGCGTCCACTGAACACATGTATACGACATTTAATACAAATTTCATTGCATTTTATTGTAATTTATTTATTAATATATAATTTTTATACCCAAATCTTTGGACGCCTTATCCTTTGATATATTTAACGGTTTATCACAACAGGGAAAGCCTCCGATCGTATTGAAGCAGAACTTCTTCGTTAAGTATAGATAGAAAACAAACAAACAGGTCATACAAATCGCTACCATCCCTAAGAAAGCACTCGCTTCTGTCGGTACTGCAATTCAATCACATTTGTATTTAATTTGATTAGTATTGATAATAATGTATTTTAATTAATATAATTTTAGACTAACTCTCAAATATAGGCCCCATTTTATATAATAGGCAAATGTATACTAATAAAAATATTATGCAATCTTTTCGGAATATTCTTCGTGTTCTTATTTATTATATAATAAAAATCTCGTAAATTCTATTAATAATAATAATAATCGGTTTATTGATTAACTAAACGTATATTATTATTAAGTGAAAATAATATTTTCTAGTATCTGATAAATGTTATTAATTGAAATTGTCATACATTTAATAACTATAAGATTTAAATGTATTCATAATAGCATTCATTCGTGCATTCAATGAAATTAATAATTTTAAAGAATCGATTGAAACTCAATTCATTGATAGAGTAGTAAATGAATAGTATTTTAAATAATAATATTATGCAATACATGCCAATCGGGTATAAAATGAAATCATTTTGGTTTTGCATTTAAAATACAAAAATACAATGCAATTAGAAATGTTTAAATAATTGTGAATATAATGAAGTGACAAATAGACTATTAATGTAATTATATGTTTGAGATAACGGGCTATATATGAGTGATTAGTGCGTATAATATATGACACCAGACATGACAATACCTGAGAGCATAGTCGCGAACAATAAGTAGAAAATGACTGAATCTATGACTATTTAGTTAATCACAAGTGATTAGAAAGTGAATTGAATTGAAATTAAATCACATTCTCGTTCACTAATAGATTGAGTTCTTGCAGTTCTTGCAGCCGAAAGCAGGCTTTGTTGCAACACTACTACCACTACTAATACAGTGTTGTGTTTATAGAGTGAGAGCAGGTCTGAGAGCAGGACTCAGTACATCACCATTTGCTACGACATCCATAAGCCTTATCTCAACAGATGAATGCATGAAAGCATTACTTTCTATCCAATGTATAACGCATTGCATCCACTCTTATCATTACAAACACTAGTGTTTCTCATGACTGCTATATATTGCGAATGTTAAATAAAGTACCAGTCATACCATGAATACCAGGCAACCATCGATTCTCTCTCTCTCTCTCTCTCTATCAACACAACACTGTATTAGTAGTGGTAGTAGTGTTGCAACAAAGCCTGCTTTCGGCTGCAAGAACTGCAAGAACTCAATCTATTAGTGAGCAGAATGTGATTTAATTTCAATTCAATTCACAAATATAGATTTACCTCTCGTTTAGAAGTGGAAAACTTGACGACAAAAAGAGAGATTCCGTAATCGGGTAACGCCTGCCAGGCTTTGATGAAATGAAGTTTGGCCTCAGTTAGCGACAGACCCTTCACATTGGAGTGCGCGTCCGCTATGCGCTGAACCCACTGTCAAACACATTATCACAGTATTAGTAATAGTAATCATTAGACAACAAACCATTGTGAGGGACATACCTGTCGACCGCCTTTCTTCCTTAAAAATCTGGGAGCGATGTAATCGTCCGGGTTATCGATTTGATGGGAACTGATGGGCGCCGTATAGGCCGAGTGCGCCGGATGTTGAAGGCTTAAAAAGTTCAGAATTGATTTGACTTCACTGTCGTAGGAAGAGTCGGCCATTGTTCGGCCTTTGGTGGCCAGTCGTATGGCGGCCATCCATCGGGCGTACTGGTGCTCTGACTCGCATCTAATCCAATACTCTTGCATACCTTCATGATTGGGAACCTCTAGTTTAATGCCGTACTTGCCTTGACTGAGGTTCACATCTGGCGTAACCTCACAGCCTTTCATATTGATTACAAACGCCGGATCATTACTACTCCGATCTTCACTCGACTTATAAACCGAAAGTCTTGTATCTCTGAACACAAAATACAATCTCTTAAAACTCTTGAGTGTAAACCTCTTGGGTTTCATAAATCGGAGATAATCTGCGAGTTCCGGGACGTGAGTGATATCACCGCCCATTGGTATGGCTGTCGGCGCGCCTTCTAATGAAATCTGGAGGTCATCTAAAGCGGCGTCGATGTCGTCGTCGTTACGGGAGTTGTGTTTCTCAGGAAACGGATTATTGGTTTGTATGGAGACCTGGAGTTGAAGTGCGGCGAAGAGTGCCATTTCCTCTTCGGTGCAGTCAATCTCTTCGGTGAGGACAGCCCAACGCGCCTGAGCGTAGATCTGGTTGATTCGGGTTGAGTCCACTTTCGGGTTGATGTCGTAAAACGTGAAGAACTTGTATTTCAAAAGCAATAAATCAAACTCTCGGACGTCCTGTTCGTATAGAGACAGAGAGGAGTCGAGCCAACCGGCGTTCAGACGCGCCCTTTCCACCAATGACTTCGGCCTCAATAACGTGTTTTTGGCCTCAATTGTCGGCGTCACTGGACTCGTGGCCAGCGATGGAGATATCATCTCATTATTATAGGCAAAACTATTATCGCTCGCATAATTGGAGTGAAGAGTTCCGTTGCCGTTAGTGACCACTCCATTCCCGTTACGGACCGGAGTTGTCATGTCGTCAACAAAAGTGGGGCTCGACTTCCCATCTGGTGTTCCAATGGTCGCCACAGGACTGGCATTGGTTGCGACAATCGGTCCCATTGTGTCCCTCTGTCTCTGCAATGGACTGACACTCATATGAGGAAAGTTTCGCTTCAGGTGTGCGTTCACTAGAGGTCTGGCGAATGAGAGCTCTTCCGGATGTCTTATTCCTAAATCTTTACACAATTGGACGACAGCTGTGAACGTCTTGACCGAGAAGTCAACTCTGGCGTCGATATATCTCAAGTCAGGCATTTGGACGCGTAATGTCTTATGCATTGGCGTGAAGTAGAGGACGGCGTCGGCCTGTACTCCATACTGATCCAGAGTAGTTCGCGTCCGACTCAACCACATGTTCTTCGACGGCCACCACAACGCGTGATCCGACCAATCGATGGCCACATCTGTCACACAAATGGTTAGATATCATCAAAACAGATGGTTTAAAGTGAATAAATACCGAGATCTTCGACCAGTTTCAACATAACGCCTCCCACATGAAGATCACCCTTCACTCGAAGAGTTCGGTCCACTTTGAGGTCAGTGACAAAGATCTTGAGCTGCCACGAGCCGTCTCCCACCAAATAGCCGTCCGATATCATTGTGTTTGCTCTTCGGCTGTCAACGCGTCCAACAAATGGTCACAACACAAGTGATGGTGTTTTGGATATGATTTGTTTGGCAAATGAGGTCACGAATGGCAGACACAGGCATCCGATGCCGTCATGTCTTTGGATGAGAGTCTAAGAGTCTGAATGAGTGAATGGGTGTCAATGTGTGGGCGACTAATACGGCGATCAAAACTATACACAACTTATACTACACTTCACTACTGTATAGGCGTTAGGCTTTGGGTTGTGTTTGTGTTGAGTTGTATTGACTTGTGTTCAGTCGTGTTATGTTATGTTGTGTTGGGTTTTGAACGCTATTAATGTCGACTCCTTTAAAGGAAACTCCAATATTGAGACCGATTTGGGCACAAATTTACCACTATTTGCACACAACTAATGCCATCACTCGTCTCATCACTTAACTCTTCCACAACTTCCCAAACACTTGTTCAACAGATTAACCATTATTTCTATATATCATTGACTTTACAATACGATTACTGTAACAAAACTTATTGTAATGTTAAATGTATTTTCATTATTATGTGTGAACTAATGGTTTGACTTTTTACTATATTTCTGGGAACAGTATTCAATAATTGAATTGTATGTTGAATCCCAATTAGCATTTTAATTAACAAGAATACAAACTTTTTAATGTGTAATCAACCTAAAAATTAAGTTTTAATATTGATAATACACTACTTTATAATAATTATAATTTAGTGTCATTTATCATTAAAACATATTAGGATATTAATAGTAATTAATTGAATTTTTGGTACTTTTATCACAAGATTGTTTTTATAAGATATCTGACAAACATTATACATTATCTGTAGGTTAGCTCTTATAAGAATAAAATCAAATTTATTAAAATTTGTTAAAATTATATAAATCAACGAAATAAAGCATAAAACACTTGTGGATATAATTGCTTAATTAGTATTAACTAAATGTGACCACAATTTAACATATAATTCTCAAGTCATCCTTAGAATAAGACTACATATACAGTATAACGACAGCAAAGGAATACTATATGAAAATTGATGATAATCTTCAAAGAGTTAAATAATATGTTTAAATATATGACAAAACAATATTAGTACCACTTTTTAATAATTTTAATTTAAGTTTAATAAAAAAGGTTAATAAAATATCTAATATAGTAATATTTAATTAAATGTAAAATGTATAAAGGTGTAAGGGTAATTTTGTAAATTCTAAATATTATTAGTGCTGTAATGTACGTACGGACAAATGTTGTACAAAACTTCGATAAATTGTCTCAAAATAATAAAATATTAATCTGATTCTGATAAATGTCAACACTATATGGAATAACTATTTTACATGTTTGGAAAGTATATAACTCTAATTATATGATGGAAAAACTATTTGCAAAAAAGCTTTTTCTAGTATTGGAAAATAAAACAATTTAAACGTTTGTGTCATTAAATGTCTTATTTATTTTATTTAGAGATTACAGAGATTTCCAATAATTATATATGCATTCAGTTTATATACTTGTAACTTATAATTTGCTTTCAATGTTTAGAACAATACAATATAAATGCTTTAAATACTTGGAAAATTCTCAGAGAGAGAGAGAGAGAGAGAGAGAGAGAGA